TTCATCGTCTGGTTAATGTTGACAAATCTCAGCTCTGATGATTTTTACAGGCACTTGAAGAAATGTGGTAGTGATGGAGGTTTGCGTTCTTTGGGAAATTCTGTAAATTTCCCATTTTCCAGACACTTGATGAAATGAAGTCTTAAGAGATAATTGTTGTAGGTACACTCTGGATTGCCTCCAGGGGTTAACATCTCAACATATTGGCAGCTGAATACATCACACAGCTTTTATCAGTAACTGCCTGCTACTGCACTTTTAGATATTGAATGTGGTTTAGTGGGACATTCAGAAAAAACTTCACCACCTTTTTGCCATTACAGGTAGTAACAAAAACATGTCCGATATGCCAGTCTTAGTGTAGCTGAATAGTTGGCTTTAGCACTGGTGTGATATGCCTGCCAACAAATCTTATACATGGATGACCTTCGTTTTGTTTAAACTGATTTCTCAGTATAGTGACCGCAGCCTGGGCAACATGAGGAGAGATGGGCTTTCCATCTTCAATGTCAGCCTTGTCCTTCATGCCGAGTCCCAATTCTGGGAGCCAGGCTACATTGGGATCAAATCTCTGAAACTTCTTCTGTGGGATGTCATCCTGGTTTTTGTGCCACAATGGTCTTATTCTTTTCTTTGGATTCTGTTGATCTTCTTGGTTTACAAAGGGATGTCGTTTCTTTGTAGACCATCTTGTCCAAGCTGATAGAATACACAATATGAGAAAATATTAACCACAGCAGAAAAATAAAAGTAAAAAATGTTTGTTTGAATGAGTTTTTCATAATATTCATCAATAAACAGGTACGAGCCCCCAGATTGTATCAGATTTGAAGGACTGACTTGTCTGGCCATCCCATAAACAGCCCTTGACTCAGAGCTAATTCACACGGGAAGAGAAAAACACTGCGCTTAGATGCATACAGTGTATAGTTTTTGTGCGCATCTAAACTCAGCACTATAGTATTTAATGAGTCCATACACACAGCTGCGTCCACAACCTAAAATGTGTACTACATTTTGGACCAGTTCACAGTATGCACCAAGCTGAATTGCTCAGGAATGTGAAAGCGTTCTTGTGCTATTCACCTGCAGCTCTGTGCAGTGTGATTTCAAGCCCATTCATTTGAATGGGCTGAAATCGCACCATGTTGCACCAAAAATAGTGCATGCGCTACTTTTTGAAATGCACAGCAACCACATCGCATGGTACTTTCTACTATATGATTTGGTGTGGTCCAGTGTGGGCAAACGCAATGCGTTTGCAACCTATGTTTGGGACATCATTAACTGATCCCCGCAGCAGATCGCAATGGCATTGCAAATGGAATGTGGTGTGGGAAGCAGCAAGGGACCGCAGCTCTCCCACACTGCATTCTAGTGTGTACGAGTCCTTGGTCAGGTACAAAAAAGTAGGACACAGTTGCAGAGATTAACCCCAAAGAGCTGAAGATTTTAGGCATGTACTTGCATAAATGCAAGTACTTTAGGCAAGATCTTCTAGATCTGCCAGCAAGAACCTTTTTGTCATGCAGAAAATATGCCCATGTGAATGAGCCCCACATGGAAAAATGTGTGCAGCATTTAGCTGTGCACAAAACGGCTTCATCCAGGGGTGCACAGATCTGATCTGAAAATTGTACGTAGAAATGCATCTAAATGCAAGTATATTAGGCCTATATTTTACACAGGATCTTCTGCTAGTTGTGCCAGCAAGAACCTGCTTTCCATGCAGAAAATATGCATTTGCAAATGTGAATGAGCCCTGAATGTGAACATTGAAAATCCTCTTCTACTGACCCTTTCAGAGGATCAATAAAAGTAGAAAAGCATTATTATGAGAAAAAAAACGGGTTCATATATACCTGTCTACCTCACGTGTCAAACACAAGGCCTGGGGGCCGAACCTGGCCCACCAGGCCATTTAATGTGGTCCTCACACCTGTCCTGAAGTTGGCGCACTCCCCTCATCTTTGCCCCCACCTTGTCTCAGCAGTTGGCAGCAGAGAGAACAGAACTCTTTCACCAGATCCTGAAGTGGTTCAGGCAGCCATAGAGAAGCTTGTCTCTGGTTCACCCCTTCCCATCTTAGCAGTCGGCAGCAGAGATGTTTTCTGGTCCTCCTCCAGGCTCTGCACTTTCTGCTTCCCAGCTCTACCCCAGCTTCTTCCCGTTAGCAGCATAAGGTATGGGGGTGCACTGTTATGTAAGGAAGGATGGGGGGGACTCTTGACTTCTGATAGTGTGGAAAGGGGCTCTTGACATCTGATGTAAGGGGGGGAGGGGTTCTCTGGACATCTAGTCTTACGAATACAACTTCACTCTGATCCAGTTTGACATTTTAGGCTGGTCGAAAAACATCCATCCCCCCCCCATCCCAGCTGCTGGGATTCTTCCTGCTTACCCCTACTTACTGCAGGACACAGTTATGAGCACGCTATTCCACACACCTGACATGGTGGAGTTACGGTCAGCACCAAGAAAAATAAAGCTTCAACAAACAGGCTGATGGACTGGCATGTACAGTTGTGTTCAAAATAATAGCAGCGTGTTGAAAAAAGTGAATAATGCTCAAAATCCTTCTAATAGCTTTTATTTCCATACACACAAATGCATTGGGAACACTACACATTATATTCCAAATCAAAACTTCAAGAAAATTATTTAAAATTTGTGTTGTTCCTCTAAAAAAATTGAAGAAAAGTGAATATTAGACTGTTGTACAAGCTGGTTACAGAGCATTTCTCTCTGAAATTCTGAGGAAAATGGGTCGTTCCAGACATTGTTCAGAAGAACGGCTTACTTTGATTAAAAAGTTGATTGGAGAGGGGAAAACATATAAAGAAGTGCAGAAAATGATAGGCTGCTCAGCTAAAATGATCGCAAATGCTTTAAAATGGCAACAAAAACCTGAAAGACGTGGAAGAAAGCAAAAAACTACCATTCGAATGGATAGAAGAATAGCCAAAATGGCAAGGACTCAGCCAATGATTAGCTCCAGGAAGATCAAAGAAGGTGTAAAGTTACCTGTGAGTACTGTTACAATTAGAAGATGCCTATGTGAAGCCAAGCTATCTGCAAGAAGCCCCCGCAAAGTCCCACTGTTGAAAAAAAGACATGTGCTGAAGAGGTTACAATTTGCCAAAGAGCACATTGACTGGCCTAAAGAGAAATGGCGGAACATTTTGTGGACTGATGAAAGTAAGATTGTTCTTTTTGGGTCTAGTGGCCAGAGACAGTTTGTCAGACGACCCCCAAACACTGAAATCAAGCCACAGTACACTGTGAAGACAGTGAAGCATGGTTGCGCAAGCATCATGTTATGGGGATGTTTCTCATACTACGCTGTTGGGCCTATTTATCGCATACCAGGGATCATGGATCAGTTTGAATACATCAGAATACTTGAAGAGGTCATGCTGTCTTATGCTGAAGAGGAAATGCCCTTGAAATGGGTGTTCCAACAAGACAACGACCCCAAACACACCAGTAAACGTGCAACATCTTGGTTCCAGACCAACAAGATTGACGTTATGGAGTGGCCAGCCCAATCCCCGGATCTTAATCCAATAGAAAACTTGTGGGGTGACATCAAAAATGCAGTTTCTGAGGCAAAACTAAGATATAGAGAAGAACTGTGGAATGTAGTCCAATCATCCTGGGCTGGAATACCTGTTCACAGGTGCCAGAAGTTGGGTGACTCCGTGTAACACAGATGTACAGCAGTTCTCAGAAACAGTGCTTATACAACTAAATATTAATTAAATTATTCAAAGGAAAGCAAAATCTTCAAAATTTTTCAGTTTATATAGTGAATGTTTGAGTTTGTAAAGAAGAATACAAACACTGCTATTTTTTTGAACAGTCTAATATTCACTTTTCTTCAATTTTTTTAGAGGAACAACACAAATTTTAAATAATTTTCTTCATGTTTTGATTTGGAATAGAATGTGTAGTGTTCCCAATGCATTTGTGTGTATGGAAATAAAAGCTATTAGAAGGATTTTGAGCTTTATTCACTTTTTTCTAACACGCTGCTATTATTTTGAACACAACTGTATATATATATATATATATATATATATATATTTTTTTTTTTTTTTTTTTCTTTGGCGCATGTTTATTTCATGTAAATCTCATCTCTGATAATGGAGGAGTCTGAAAATTTCCAATTTATATGACAATAGTGATGATAATAGTCACACAATCAGAAATGAACTCAGCCCCTCTGAACTGGAAAATGAATTGTCCCCGACTCCAAAGGTGGATATGAAATCAGACAATCCTCCACTCTAAATACAATAAAATAGAGTGGTGAAGTGATCCTAACTCTAATGATGATAAATTAGAGTCAGACAATCCTCAATCCTGTATAGGAATACAGTTGGGAACAGATAACAAGAGCAGGGATTGCTAGAATCACGAGCCAAATCGCACGCGTCTGTCCTCCACAAGCTCTCTATAAAGAATGCTGATAAAAGGTGGAAGGGGTTTTAAGGAACCCCTTTTTGTCATCTGATCACAGCAGGAACAATTTCCAGGCCCTCCCTAGAGTCCAATAAACATTTGAATTTGGGAGAGCCTTGTGACTGCTGGGTTTGGGGGGCCTGGAAACCTAATAACATGAATTCTAGAAATCTGGGGTCGCCTACAATAGCTATGCTGTTTTATTTGACAAATAAATTACAGATTCTTATGTTGTTATGAACTATAATTATTATAATATGTAATGGGTAAACTAATAATAAAGGCCGCGGCCATTGTTAATCCACAAAAGAAAAACAACCCCACACCATAATCCCCCTCCACTAAACTTTACACTTTGCACAATACAGTCAGGCAAGTACCGTTCCCTGGCAACTGCCTAAGCCAGAAATGTCCACCTGATTGTCAGAGAAGCGTTATTTGTCACTCCAGAGAACACATCTCCACTGCTCTAGAGTCCAGTGGCAGCATGCTTTACACCACTGCATCTGATGCTATGCATTGCATTTGGAGATGTAAGGCTTGAATGCAGCTGCTCACCCATGGAAACCCATTCCATGAAGCTCTCTACTCACTGTTGTGCTAATCTGAAGGCCACGCGAAGTTTGAAAGTCTTTAGCTATTGACTCTGAAGACAGTTGGCGACTTCTGCTCACTATGCACTTCAGCATGCACTGACTGTGCTCTGTCATTTTACGTGGCCTAGCACTCCATGGCTGTTACTGTTGTTCCCAGTTGCTTCCACTTTGTTATAATACCACTAACCTAACTAGCTGACCGTGAAATATTTAGTAGCAAGGAAATTTCACAGATGGACTTAATGCACAAGTGGCAACCTATCACGGTACTGTGCTTGAATTCACTGAGCTCCTGAGAGCGACCCATTCTTTCACAAATGTTTGTAGAAGCAGTCTGCGTGCAGTCTGTTCCAATCACCTCCATGGCCACAGGTGTATAAAACCAAGCACCTAGGCATGCAGACTGCTAATACAAACATTTGTGTAAGAAAGTGTCTCTTTCAGTGAATTTAAGCATGGTACCGTGATGGGTTGCCATCTGTGCAGTAAGTCCATCCATAAAATTTCCTTGCTACTAAATATTCCACGGTCAACTGGTAGTGGTATTATAACAAGGTGGAAGCAGCTGGGAACAACATCAACAGGCCAAGTAAAATGACTGAATGAATGGGGTTAGCGCATGCTGAAACAGACAGTGAGCAGACGTCACCAACTGTCTGCAGAGTCAATAGCTAAAAACCTCCAAACTTAGTGTGTCCTTCAGATTTACACAACAGTGCATAGAGAGCTTTATGGAATGGGTTTCCATGGCCGAGCAGCTGCATCCAAGCCTTACATCACTAAGTGCAATACAAAGTGTTGGATGCAGTGGTGTGAAGCACACAGATCTCAAATGCAGTATAGTCCCTCCTCCCAAAAGAGCCTCTCAGTTGGGCTCCTTGGTCACTTTTATAGTCCCACTTCTATGGGACTTATAGTTGCACCTACGCAAGGGCCAAATCTAGCCTGTCTGATCTGGAGATAAATTAAACAAATTCAGGGGAGCATACAGTCAACACATCTTTGTTCATTTCTGTCTATCTATTTTCTTTCTAAATATATCAATTATGCTTCTGTGCTCGAGATGCAGAAAACCAGTAGAGAACTGACAACATTTTGTGCACTTCTGTACTACGGAATCTATAATCACAAGTCCAACCGAGAGTAAACAAAGCCCCATCGATCCTCCTCCTGCATCTGTATCATTTTTCACCTTACCACACACACTACTTGTCCTGGGTGCATTGCCCTGCACCTTGGAGAACAGGTACCAGGAAGAAAATTGGAAGGAATCACTGCTACGTTTATTGGAGGATTATCAGTGTAAAAGAGGACAGCACTACATTTGAGGTCTGACTTTTGGTATATTGCATTAGAGAAGAGCACTATACAGAGTTTCTTTATACAAACATATACATGTTTATAGCAAAGGAGAAAGTTAAGCACTGTATTAGCTGTTCAGTAGAGTTGGGCTTGATGTTCGAGTCAAACATAGTCAAACATAGTCAAAATCAAACATCAGCCGTTTGTGTGTTTGGCGAACACACGAACGGCAAGGGCGTTTGGCACGCCCCAAAATGCATTGCGCCTGACAGTGCATTGTGATCGGCCAAAGCAATGCACCTGACCAGAGGTCAGGTGCAATGCTTTGGCCAATCACAGCACATGGTGATGTCACAATGGGTGGGGCTCCCAGTGACATCAAAACCGGGTAACCCTGCCCCTTGTGATATCACAGTATTTAAGAACTGTCAGATGGTGGGACGCAGTGTTGAGAACAAGCATTTTCATCTTCTTTTTTTGGGTCGGCAGTGGCGGCGGGTGTCGTGATTGATGTTGGATCTACTTCTGGGACATTTTTTTATTTTTAATAAAGGACTTTTTAAAGACTGTCTTCTGTAATTTTTACACAACGCTTTTTTTTTGTTGTAAATGAGTAGCGGTACCATGTACCCCATTCTCATTCACATAGGGGGGGCCGGGATCTGGAGGCCCCCTTGTTAAAGGGGGCTTCCAGATTCTGATAAGCCCTCCACCTGCATTTTGAAGAAGAGGCCCTTGTCCCCGTCAACATGGAGACAAGGTGCTTTGGGGGGGAGCCCCCCTGCCCCAAAGCACCACCCTCATATTGAGGGCATCTGTTTAGTGAATTGTCCCAGTTCGAAGTTCGTGGTCAAACTTTTGTTAGGTATGAATGTTTGACCCTGAACCAAACGGGGGTGTTCCGCCCATCACTACTGTTCAGTATATCTCTAATATTTTTGATTTTTAATGTCACTGAATTTTGTCTTTTGGGCCATGAATTTCCACAGGAAATGAATAGTCAAAATGATGTCTCTTCATTGGAGAGTCACGCAGCAAAATGTTCACACAGAGACTGCACGTTATAATTTTCTCTGAATAGAGGGTTACCTGCATAACAAAAGGTTTAAACCAAGATGGTGTTTCATGATATTACTGATTTCATTATTGCAAAGAGAATAACTAAAAAAGAAAACTTTGGGGTATTGCTATCACAAAAGTAATACTATAAACAAGTAACATTGGGACTCAATCGAATGTGACTACCAGAGACCATTTTAGTAGATCTATATAGAACAGTGGCTAGTCTCTTGCTTGGATTCCCCGCATGTGCAGCTGTAACTGGACAATATGATGCCCTGCTAACTGGAACTATAAGCATGTGATAGGATACTGAATCACAGATTGGTTAATAAGCTGTGTAAGTCTAGCAGCAGCATTCATAATAGACTGAAGGGGAGCTAGCCAGTATAAACATAGGCCAGTGAGGAGGGAGTTGCAGTAGTCAAGACGAGATATAAGAGTGAATAACTTGTTTATGGTGTTGTTAGTCAGGAAGGGGAAAATTCTGGAAATGTTACAGAAATTTTTTTAAAAACAATTTTAATTGTTAACACTATAGAATAAATTCCATCTCAATAATGTTTCTACATGATTTTCTATTGGTGCCTCAAGAGTCTGACATTCTGGTTTTTGCTTAAATAAATGTATGCATTATCCTGGATGTAGTACTTGAGCCTACTGCAGATTCATATTTCCAAAAGAAATTTAAGCCAGTGAAAAGTTGTGAAAGTCTTTTTCAGTAAAAAAAAAATAAAAATTATATATATATTATAGCTCAGCTACAGTACATTTCAGCTTTAATAGCAAAATAGAATGAGTGACATTCAATTTAATGTGCTCTTTTTTTTTTACTTAAAAAAAATTAAATTCAGACAATACAAGACAAAGAAACTAAAAATGGAGCAATAAGAGTTACAATTGAATCAAATAAACATAATCAAAGTGTTTGTTATATTACAACATTGGTGAGTCCTTCTTGGTATCCTGATCTGCTTCTGTATCAGACTTGGGTGAGTTCATATTGTTTGTCTCCACTTTGGGCAAAACACTGAGGTTCATAAGATCAAAGGGGAAAGGTACTAGGAAGGTTGCAGGTTTTTCCGAAGTCATACACTGCAATGTGTGCAGGTAACGGAGCTGAACTGCAGTGGGGGATCCAGATAGAGTTTCTGCTGCTATTTTCAGTGACTCAGACACAGTCTTCTCACATTCTGCTGCAAGAATCTGTCATAAAGCACAAGGTAACGATTACATAAGGAACAAAATAGTTAAAAATAATTACTGCTATCTACCAAGCCTTTAAAATGTACCTTTACTTTAGTATGCCTTTGTGCTTCTGCCTCTATGGCCATTGTCTGCTTAACATCTTCTGGCAGTTTCACATCTTTACTGCAAAGAACAACAGGATATTTCTCCATTACTCTAGAACAGCTAATATGTAATATGATTAGAGGGTCAAACTAGACACTGGGGGAAATTTACTACAGCTGGTGCACTCAGAATCTGGTGCAACTGCACATAGTAGCCAATCAACTTCTAACTTAAGCTTTTTCAGTTAAGCTTTTCAAATAAAACCTGGAAGATGATTGGTTTCTAAAAGGAGTTGCACCAGATTTTGTAAGTTTTAGTAAATAACCGCCATAGTGTACCAAAAAGCGTAGGTCTCCTACAGTGACGGTAAATAAAAAATAAGAAATAATCAGGAATGGAACTGTAGGTAATCAAATTAACATATGTCTGAATAATAATATAGGAGTAACTACCGTAGGTAAGAGAAGATGAGAACTATGCCAAAAGGCAGAGGATAAGTAGATATAATCACCAATGTGTGTGGACACACAAAAAGTGGTTACCTCCACGGACAAATGTGATATGCCAAGAAAACTGTGGTTAAAAAAAAATATAATATCTTTATTGAACATCAAACATCAAAGTTGCTATAAATATAAATTAATTAATTAAAAAAATAAAAATGCATATCTATTTTCATGCCCAGAAAACGTTGTCTTCCCCAAAATAAAATATCAATCCTCACATGTGGCCACCATACAGAGAAATATAACCAGACTGTGTAACCTCCACTAATCAGGATATTTTTCCAAAGTATAATACCTCGTAAGGGACTGCACAGTATGTGAGTGAGCGGTTAGAGTGGAGCTATAAAAATTGCGACTATGTAATTAATGAGGAGAAGAGACCATAGTGAGTCGATGATAGCCCAATCACAACTTTAGTTTGCTGATATGCATGAGGACACTCTTCTGTGACAGTTTCAAACCTGGTTGATTTACAACAATACTTCATTCCACGAGTCAAGATGGATATAAAAGGTATGCATAAAGCTGTAAATTGCAGTCAAAAATGGATGATGTCCAGTTAACAGTAAGGAGCAAAGCAAGTTGTTAGTATGAGAGTCTGGGCAGCACAGTGGCTAAGTGGTTAGCACGTCCGCCTGGCAGTACTAGCGTCGCCGCTTCGAATCCCAACCAGGGCACCACCTGCCTGGAGTTTGCATGTTCTCCCTGTGCCTGCGTGGGTTTCCTCCAGGTACTCCGGTTTCCTCCCACATTCCAAACACATGCTGGTAAGTTAATTGGCTCCTGACTAAATTGGCCCTAGTATGTGTATGTATGAATGTGAGTTAGGGACCTTAGATTGTACACCCCTTGAGGGTTAGGGACTGATGTGAATGTACAATATATATGTAAAGCGCTGCGTAAATTAACACTGCTATATAAGTACCTGAAATAAATAAAGAGTCGTCAGAGAGTGAAAGATTTGTGGCTGCACATCCATGAACTGTTGATACAATGCAGGATGGATCCGTGCTTTCTTGTTGTTTAG